TCTCTATGGGATCTCTGTGGGATCTCTATGGGCCCCATGAGGTCTGAGGCTTTGGGGTCTCTATGGGGTCTGAAATTTTTGAGATCTCTATGGACTCCCTATGGGGTGGAAAACTTTGGGGTCTCTATGGAGTCTCTATGGGGTTTAAGGCTTTGGGGTCTCTATGTGGTCTCTATGGGGTCTCTATGGGGTCCCTACAGGATCCGAGGCTTTGGGGTCTCTATGGGGTCCCTATGGGGTCCCTACGGGATCCGAGACTTTGGGGTCTCTGTGGGGTCCCTATGGGGTCCCTATGGGATCCGAGACTTTGGGGTCTCTGTGGGGTCCCTATGGGGTCTCCACAGCATGTGACAGATTTAGGGTCTCTACAGGTCTAGAGTCTCCCTAGGAGTTTCTATGGGGTGTGAGCATTTTGGGGTCTCCATAGGGTCTCCATGGGATGCCTATGGGATCTCTATGGGGCCCCATGGGGTCTGAGGCTTTGGGGTCTGTATGGGGTCTCCATAGAATCTGAGGGCTTTGGGGACCCTATGGGGTCTCTATGGGTCCCTGTGGGATTTCTATGGCTCTCTATGGGATTTCTTGTGTCCCTATGGCTCTCAATGCCTCTCTATGGGATTTCTACGGCTCTCAATGGGTCCCTATGGTTCTCTAGGGATTTCTATGGCTCTCGATGGGATTTCTGTGGCTCTGTATGGCTCTCTGTGGGTCCCAATGGGATTTCCATGTGTTCCTCTGGCTCTCTATGGGTCCCTATGGGTCCCTATGGCTCTCTGTGGGTCCCTATGGGACTTCTATAGCTCTCCATGCGTCTCAATGAGTTGCATGGAGAGCTACAGAATGATGTGATTTCTAAGAGTCTCCATGCGATTTCTATGGGTCCCTGTGGGATTTCTATGTGTCCCTATGGCTCTCAATGGTTCCCTATGGGGTTTCTATGTGTCCCTATGGCTCTCAGTGGATCTCTAAGGGGTTTCTATGGCTCTCAATGGGCCCCAATAGGATTTCTCTGGCTCTCTATGGGTCCCTATGGGATTTCTATGGGTCCCAATGGCTCTCTACGGGTCTCAATGGGTCCCTATGGGATTTTTACATGCCTCCACGGAATTCCTATGTGTCCCTATGGCTCTCAGTGGCTCTCTATGGGTCCCTATGGGTCTCTGTGGGATTTCTATGGCTCTCAATGGCTCTCAGTGGGCGCCTATGGGATTTCTAGGGCTCCCTACGGGTCCCTATGATTCTCTATGGGATTTCTAGGGCTCCCTACAGGTCCCTATGATTCTCTATGGGATTTCTAAGGCTCCCTATGGGTCCCTATGATTCTCTATGGGATTTCTAGGGGTCTCTATGGGCCCCTAT